TGGCGGGCGCGGCGTGGGTAGCAGTATCCCATCATTCCATGCGGTGTTTTTTCGCGGCACCTTTGGCGTGTTGAAGCGGCGATAGCGCCGTGTCGCAGTCGAAATAAACTCAAAATAATGGCGCAGTACACAAGTAGAGACATGGTTCTGATGATTAAAAAATGAGTTGTATGAGAAATTAAACGTTCTTGGAATAAACAGGATAAAAGAACACAAAAGCATGCCGCATTTGGCGGCTATGAACCGGCTCGCGCTTCTCATTACGTAGTGCCGATGTGCGCCCGACCGCTCGATCAACGTAAATTTCGGCCTCCTTTGTGGTTCAAAACAGACAACATCGTCCCTTTTGGCGGCTTGATGTCTTGATATAAGATATTTTCCGCCGATTTTGGTGATTTGTTTGGCATGTTTTTGGTTGAAAATGTGTTGCAACTTGAAATTTTTTTTTTTCAATTAGCCGGCATTGGCTTTTCAAATAAGAGGCGTGATAAACAATGGTGTCAATGGGAAACGGTTTGGGTTTTCACAATTCTTTTCAATTAGCAGACTTTTTCTTATAAGCGTTTTGCAATTAACTGGCTGCCACTGTACTTATAAATCTTTGGCCAAAAACTAAAGTATGAAAAAATATTTAAACAGAGATAGATGTTTGTCAACTCATTGTGTGGTATGTTTTTCATGTTTAATAGTCCTTGTAGAATGTTATATGAACATGAATAAACTGATGAGTGATTGCAGCTTTCTGGTTGTGTGTATTCTGTTTGCAGTTCAATCAATATACAGTAGAAGCCGCTTATTTGAAAAGCCAATTTGTCAGCACATTTTTTTCAAATACCCGGCCTTTCCGATTAAGAGACTCTGAGGCTCAAACTCTCGGCCTTCATTGAAACTATGGGGGTGGGGGTGGACAGGGCATCGAACACATAACGACACAAAGAATACAAACACGAGTCACATTTACGCATTAAAAACAGTGAACTTTATTGAGATCGGTAAATTTGCTTTTAATTTTTTTCGTTGACGTACACATTTATTTTTTTCGTTTTTTCCAAGACTGGAAGAACGCCGCGATACGTTAGACATCATGTGCTATCGGCAGGCTCTACTCGAACGAATAAACAATGCTACGTTTGCTACGTACAAAACAAGCAACGAATACATGCACAATCATCAGTCTGTACGTACTTTTACATCACGAAAGTAGCAAAAAATAAAGTTTGATTAACGGAAAACTTCAATCAAGTAGCGTACAGACAAAAATGCAGACGATCGTCATGAAAGCAGTCGATAGCACA